CTGCTACTCTGTTCCTTATTATAAGATTCTTTTAACTAAGCTATGCTATTTAAGAAAACAGTTAAAATTAGTTAAAAACAATTAATATATAGCAAATATAATTTTTTTCCAAATATACCCCTATATATAAATGGGTAGATGTGAGAGAGTAATGATAAGATAAATGAAAAAAAAGAATATATTAAATGTATTAAACTAGAAGTAAAATAGGTAATAGTACATTAAATGTTCAGACAAATTCAAAAAGAATATTATAAAAAAGGACTAACCTATTCAAAAAATAAGATTTTATAATAAGAAACGTAAGAGAGTATTAAGTTTGTGTCTTCATAAATGGATGGTTTGGTGAGGCAGCAGCAGGGCGCCGGGGTGGGTTTCTGGGGAAACGGCTCTTGAGAAAACCTTTACCCGAAAGGAACAAACATTAAATAGTCAATTGATTTGATTAGGCCGGCGACTCCGTCAATGTGATGTTATTTGGGTATTCAATTATTCATTAATAAAGCATTTTCATTACTCCCTCCGTTCCTTATTATAAGAGACAAATAACCGAAGTACGTTGATCAAAAAAACAGTTAAAATTAGTTAAGAACAATTAATGTGTAAAAAGTATAATTTTTTTTCAAAAATGCCCTCATTAATAATGAGAGAGAGCATGAGAGAAAACAATTAAATTATTAAAAGAAAGAGAAGTGGGAGGGAGAGAGAGTGTGAGTTGGAGATAATAAATATGGGTAAAATAGTAAATCAACAACAAAAAGTAGAGACAACTTGTAAGTGTCTCTTATATACAGGAACATGCCATAAGCATCAAATGTCTCTTATAATAAGGAACGGAGGGAGTAGTATATTGTCTACAACCACTAATTAAGATCCACCGTATCTCAGCCAAAATTCATATGCTTTGAATTTGAGGAATTATCTTTTCTTATATTTATTTATCCATATATTTTCTAATAACTCTCGTTTTTTACTTCACTTCCTTATTATTATCATCATCATCATCATCTATAACTTTTTTCTCATTCTCCTAAAATTTAAATTTGAACCAAATTTGAGCATTTTGCTCTTAGAATTTTCACAATGTTTACATAATTATAGTATGTTATTTTGAAAAATACTTTAAATACTTCAACTTAATTCCAGAAAATATATTAATTCATCTTAAAAGGTTTAATATCATTTTAAGTCAATCTTCAATTCCTTGCTTAAATAATTACATGGAATCTCAGTTATCATGAATTAATCTCGCCCAATATTGCATAAATCCTAGACTTAAAATTGCGATGTCACAATGAATTAAGTGCTTCTTGCAATAAATCCAATGACGTTATTTAAGGAGTCATTTTCTACTCTTAATGAGCAAAATGCTCCATACACATTACTAGAAGGGAATTGATCAGCCATCCTTTCTAGATAGTATTGATGAAATAACCTTGCAATTTGATTACCAATACCTTTGGTCCTAAATATAGGAGCTAGTTATTGTTGGGAGGATTGTTTTGGTTCTAAATGTAAAATCCAAATCTCCTTTGTCTGCTATATTCCCAAACCACCCTATAATTAGACTTTTGTATGATTTACAAGCTATGTTAATGATACTCCAACGTAAATGATTGAAAGAAGGGGTATTTTTAGAAAACCAACACAATTTTTTTGATGGATAACTAACTTATCTAATTTCTTTAATATATGTGAATCAGATAACTTCTGTACTTAGAACCAGGAGGAGTATCTAGCAATCTCTACTAATGAGAAGTTTGGGTATGTGACAAATGAAAAATGCAAGATTCTCATGTTTGCTAGGTCATAATGGAGATATCATTCTTCATTTACATGTAAGTAGGTATCTAAGTCTTACAAACATCATGCAAGCAAAGTGAAACCATGATAATTCTCGCGGAATATATAATTTGGAAACTACAATCCTAGGTTGCCATCATCATGAATGATGTTTCAAATCACATTTGCATTTTCCATCAATGCAAAGCTAGTATCTAGAAGAACACTTTCTCCAAGCTGACAAGCAGATACAGGCATGATAAACCCACAGCTAACAAAAATGCAGGGGGCACTCACATAAGCAACATAAGAACAAAAAGAAAATAGAAGAATTGAATTGCAGCCTCTGCACTCTAAAATTTATTCAACCCTACCTGTTTAGATTGGATTATCAATAGTCCCAAATACCAGAGAATTAGACCAATCCTAGTGGATCCTCCGGACTTTAAGCACTATGAATGGAACTAAATCAATGGCTGATGACATGGACTATAGCTGAAAACTATTATGGTTCAGATATATTCAAAAATTAGATTACTTCTGTGGATTAAATGCATAATAATAAGACAAAAACACGCAATCCAATGCAAATAGTAAATATATCATAATATTGATTTAGATTTTATATACATATTGATAGTTTTTGGACACCTTTATGTCTACAGCCGCTGCCGTATAAGATGTAGGAATACTAATTGTCCTATTAAAGGTACTTTTTGTGCATTAAACTTAGCTAACCAAGAAACCTAGAAATATAATCACTTTAATATTTTCCCCACTACAGCGCACCAGATGACCTTGACTTATTGATTTCGGCGAACCGACTATGGACCAAAAATGATGATATCTAAGCTGGTTGCGATCCAAGTAATTTCAGAAAACTGGGGTAGGAAGACAAAAATAACTGCTAAGGAGAAGTGATTGTGAACATTGTCTAATCATAATAGGTATGAAAATAATAGGCAAACTGCAAACTGATGGACCTGAAACTGCTACACAAGCCCAATAAAACAAAAGATAGCTTTACACAATTGTCTGCCAAGTGATTTTTGGACACGAGAAAAACAACAAAGAAGACACAGCAGCGTAAAAGTTAAGCATGAAATTTACCCCAGTAGGACCAACATTAATATACTGGTCTTTTTTGAACATAATCTGACAAGTTTGTTTCAAACATGAAAGTGATGAAACAAAGAAAAGCCTTAAATCCAAAATAAGAGGAACACAAAATACATCGAATTTGTCTGCCTGACCATCTTTAAATAGCATCCATCTTAGTGAGCAGGTGCCACGTGATACCAATTTAAATATTAACAAGATCCATATACATTACTAGAGATCGTTATAAAGCTTTTTAGAGATATTTAGCATTGAGGAAAGCCCTGTAAGTAAGTAAGTATGCTAGAGACTAAACGTCTATACGTAAACTATCCATAGTCTTTCATTTTATAGCTCAACATATTTTTTACGAGCAGAAAATTCTATTGAGAAAAACAAAAAGGAAGATGATGAGTTCACCTTAGCTACTGCCATCTCTACTGCAATCTGAATCACATATAATCATGAACTAAAAAAGAAAAATAAGGTATGCATAAGACAAGGGAAGATGCATTTGCTACAATTTACTATTTATGAATTAACACCTTGTTGAAGAAAATGTCAGCCTAAGAAATGCAGAGATAACCTCCTGCTCACTCTGCTCTTTACAAGTGATGTAGGTATCCCGAATACCCCTATCTCTCTTCCACACTTTTTCTCTTAATAACATAGCATCATCTGTGGAAATTTTCTTTTCAAGTGACCAACCATCAAGACTCCAAAATTCCAATGGCATATCTTCCACTGGTTCATGTAGTGCTCTTCTCTTGCTTTCTCCTTTTAGAGTATTAACTGTGTCTTGAAATTCCATCACTGAATCATGATAAAACTGAACATAAGACTGCAGCTCTTTATCTGACTTTTGAATATGGTCTTCCAATAGCTTTATCTTTTGTTGCATTAGTTCATTATATTTTTGTAATTTATCTGATCACAGCTTATAAACATTTGCTTCTTCAAGGGGTTGTTCCAGTTTATCAACCTTTCTTTGCAAGTCCTGATTTTCTTGCAAAACTATTGTAGCTTGATCAGCTTGTCTTGTTGCCTTGTCAAGTAACGATTGCAAATTTTCAACTTTTTCTGATAAATTCTTGCATTCAACTCTTAGGGTGGATAGTTTTGATACATCTTCTTGAGAAACTGACAATCTTGCTTCCAAGTCTTCTACAGCAGATTCCAAAGTTGTGCGTTCCTTTTCCAACATTACTAAATGTTCACCTGTATTCTTGACATCATTAAGCTCTTCTTTCAGTGATTCAATGACGTTCTCTAGTGAGGCATTTTCTGCTCTCAATGAGCTAAGCTCCTCAGTAAGAGAATGAATTGTATCAGCCGGAGTCAGAGAGTACTTGTGAATCATGCAATTCAGTGCCTCTGCCTTCAGTAATTCCCTTGCGAGTCATCTCGTTACATGGCTTCTCTAACTGGTTCTCCTGGTATTCCACACGTATCTTCTCCTGGGTGGCAACTTTAATCCGTGCATTAGTCTCTGCCACCCTCATCTCCAACAAGGCAACAGGTTCATTTCCCCGTGCAATGCTTCCTTCTCAGATAGAACTTTTTCAAGGTCTCCAATTGCATGAACTCTGGCTTGGTTTAAAAGATTGGTGTCCGCCACAAGAACTTATACTTCTCAACAAAAGGTAACTAGCCATTATACTGTCAACATGGAGATGAGGGAAAATCGTAAGGGCTTCAAAAAGGCATCTTACTTCTCTCTGCACTTTTTGTCAAGCCTAACAGATCCTTGACTTGAATACCTGGCAACTGCTCAGCCTGCTCTGTGTAATGAGCCCAACGATAAGCGAGGATCAGGCCCAAAATGACTCGGTCCGTAGGAGCAGAAGAATTAAGAAGAAAACTTGGAAGCTTCGTGAATTGGAGGCTGACGCGTGATTAAAATAGGGACTAGAGAGTGTTGAGGGTGTGGAATATTTTATTGTTAGACTCTCTCTCCCTGGAGGAATCTTCCTTTTCCCTTTCTGCAATTCTCTGACATTTCGGTTATTTTCCAGTACGTTGTAACAAATTCCTCAGTGATTTGTACCATCAGATCAAATATCCGAGCAGGGGAATTTCTATATCAATACCGTTTTCGTATCCATATTGCATTTCTTCACTTAAACATAGCACTCTGCCCCATCAATTATGCCCTGTTTCAAAGTGAAGTAATCAAAATCATCCATATATTATATAAAAGTAAAAGGTGTGAACACTGTTACTTTACTATTTATTGACATGACTGTTGATCTCTTTCTTCTTCTTCTTCTTCTTCTTCTTCTTCTTCTTCTTCTTCTTCTTGTTTCTTTTTTTGGTTGTTGTTGTGGGGAGAACTGATTTCCTCTTTCAAACTTCTGCGTGGTTTTAAAGAATTTTAAATTTCCCTTTGCAATGCGAGGTTGACATTAGTTTAGGGTAATAACAGCATAATTTTTAATATCTATCATTTTCATAGCCAAGTAAGGATATACATGGGACAGTAACTATTTGTCCAGACGCCTGCACTGAAAAGACCATGCACCAATATTCCACCCAGTGTTGAAGAACAATAAAGGACTCATGTTTGAAATTTTGACATTGGTAGTGATACAGAACAGAAACCAAAATTAGTGATACAGAAAGACTGCAAATAAAACTTGATTCAATATCAATATGTCCAAAAACAAATGATAACCAGGCCTATTTTATAAGATTCTTAAAACAATAAATTGTAAAGCAACTAAAATAAGACTACTGGAATATGAAAACAACACCAAATAATAACATGTCCCAAGATTCAAATACCACTATTGAAAATTCCTAAGTAAATCACACCCAATAATTTGTGAACCTTAAATTTCAACAGAGATGAATACAAACAAGGTAAATAATATTCAGTACATGCCACCAAATATCAATTACAGATAAACCAGTATGTAGGAATGTACTTCATGTCATACTTCTCAATTCAAAATAAATTACATCTGCATATATAGCGGCAAAAAACCATTGTTACATTCTTTTAGCTTCCTCTTTCTCACGACACTTCAAAGAGAGATCCATGATATAGAAAGATTAACCATGAAATATCTAAATAGGTGGTCCATAGATGTGTGAATGTGAACAGACTAACATCCAAACAGAAAAGAATTGAACAAAACAGACACAATTCTACAGCAGAAATCAGAAGGAATAAATCCACAATTTCAGGCTACATATCTAGATGAAGTAGATACCAAAGGTGCTGGTTCAGCTAGTACAGCAGGATTATTCAAATTCTCCACATCAATATACTGGACATGATCTCTGCTGTCACTAGCCATATCAGTGTTAGCGTCTAGGATATCCTTGTTCAAATTTGGTATGCCATCCAAAGAAACCTTTCTAAGCTCAGAGTCCTCATCTTCACTTGGATGGAGATCTCCCTCAGTGGGAGGGGGTTCATGAGAAGCTTTCTTGTTCTGTTGCTTTTTGTGCTGGGAACTGTGAACAGTTGTATGAGTTCGTGCATGCTAACTACCAAATATACAAAATTACTAGCCAGCAAAGTATAGTAGGCATTATAGAAGTGGAAACAAAACAAAATTTAACCAAATACAGATAACTAGTTCTTTTAACTAGGTTGACATTCAATTCCATTGACTACTAGATTACTGTTACACTAAGTGAGAAGGAAAACGAGATGTTACATTTCATGAACAATACGTGGCATTGCCTAAAATAAATTCAGTAACGCAATGAAATGAAGTTGTTTTACTTTTAGCTCCATTAGAGTCTCAAAATTAACACATTAGATTTACAAAACCCTAATAATTCACTTACCAACTCATTCCGAATATGATTGAGAAATAACAAAAAGAGGCAAAGCATACACAACACCAATGAATCCCGTTTTCTCATGAATAGTGAAAATGAATTACGCTTCAATCAATGAACGAAAGAATGACAACAAAAGGGTTATGCAAAATCCAACAAAACCATTCCCCAATCTAAACCAGATCAAGTTGAAGGAATTAATGGCCAAGAAAACTAATCAAACAAATCAACGCTTCCGAATCAATTAACATGTGGTAAAGCAAACTAGTAGTGGCACCTGAGATTACGCTGTCGCATTCTACAGGAAGCAGTGAGAAACCGATGCGACGGCAAGGAAAAGCGAACTGCGTTAGAGTGATTACAGCTGAGGTGACTTAAATTGCAGCAAAGAAAGCAAGTGGTGAGCTTCGTCGCCATAGTTGTTCCTCAAGCTTTGCTGTGTGACTGAGTAAAAACAGCATCAGAAGAAGAAGAAGAAGCCTTGAACCAAAAGCTTCCGGGATTCCGTGGGCACAACGTCTTCGTCTCCGGGATTGGTGAGTGCCACATGGGTCGTGCCTCTCGGGCAAGGAATAAAATACAACGAACAAGACAGAGAGTGGCTGAAATTTGATTAAAAACGGAGTGTGATTATGGAGCCGCCTTATCCAAAGATTGACGTGAAATAATAAATGGCTTCATCCACAATCCACACAGCGTCATACGGTCATTCATGTGTCCAACGCAGGTCGCCCATTTTATCCTCACAAAGTCAGATGGTAATGCGGGAAATACCGTCCGTTTATAATCGCTGCTACACGCACAATTCTTGCATATTTTCTCCTCCGGTTTAGGTAACAACTAGTTTGGGGTCTTATACCGGAGGTAGTAGAATTTAATATTACATATTTATTATACATTTTTCCCTGTAATTCTAAGAGTCCTAGGATTTAAACTTATGTTTTCCTTCTTATGAGGTCTTATCATCTTAATTAATTAATAACTTATTGATCACATATTTGTTATAATTAACTAGTTTATCTAATTTTTTTAACGTAACTAAATTAGTTTAATAGCTTTTAGTCTCTTGCATCAAAGATGAGAAATGTATGAAATACATATGATAACTTAATATGTTGGCAAAAAAAAACATATAGTAATTTAATAATCAATTAAGTTAATTATTTATAAAAAGTACGTGTCTTTTTTTTTTAAATGACCTTTATTAATTTGTGAAGTTACTCTCACCGCTATTCATTTTTTTCCTAAGTGATTGCATCTGTTACAGGATTTTTATTCTAATGTACTCTTCCGGTCCTTAATATGGGATCTAATTCTTGAGTTGGTTTTGGTTCTAAATATAAGATCCATTTCTCATATTTATCAATTTTCTCTAAATTACCCCTATAGATACTCCCTCAACCATAATCAAATAGAAGAGGGAGAGAGTATTAAAAAAGATGATTATGGTATTTTAGAAAAATGTGTCACTTTTCTTATAATTAACTAACTTACCTAACTTCCTTAATCTAATCAAATTAGTTAAATGGGTCTTATATTAAAGACCGGAAGAGTACATGATTAATAATGATATTTAAAAAAAATAACATCCATTTATTACAAATAACTAATTTAACTATTTTTTAAATATTTACAAATTATTTAGTTAGATTGTATTTTAAGGACCAAAGTGGTATTATGTTACAGAATTTTCTTTCCTTTTTTTTTCGGTTAGATACATTTATTTTTTATTAGAGATAATTTTATTTAAAGCATTGTCATACACTAAATATAGATATCTTTCCTTGTAAAAAGTTGAACTTTAGTTCATCACGTTATAAGGATTAGCCTTCCTCGCTACCTTGAACTCTTGAATTTTTCTTCCCATTTTATACAGCATTTGGGAACGCACAAAACCCACACATAATTTATAGAATTAGAATATACCAGAACTAAAAACGCAATAAAATTAAATAATCAAATATAATGATAATATTAAAAATTATTATTTCCGGACCTGGTATTTGAAATAGTAATAAATGTCAACAAACATATGCTAATAATCGTCCTTCGGGTGTAAATGATTGTTCAAAATTTAAAATTATTTTAATTTAAAATTGAAGTAAAAATTAAAAAATTAATTTGATAGAAGCAAACCTAGTTTAGACTGATCAACAGAATATTTATAGCTTACATTAGGATGCAGCAATAAGAATTCGAAATTCAAAAGGTAAATAATATAATTCTTGTCGTTTTATAATTACGGGAACAAAATTTCACATTGATAGTTTAAATTTTGTGTGTGTTAATATTATCGTTTCTTTCATGAAAATCATCTGAGTAAAAACTTTATAATTAATTTTTAATATTTATGTGACATAAGGAAAACATTAATATTAAAAACTTATAATAACTTCTCTTTTTTCAGCCAAGGGAACAACGGATAGGCGATTTTGAAACATTTTATTCTTTTAGGAGATTGTTTTCATCTCTTTTATCTCGATTCAGTTTGGGTGTTCATCTCCCTTGCTCATCCCTTGATAAGCATTAGACTATCCAAACATGATTTGAATGGTTGAGATATTTAACATTTCTAATTAATTATTTTTAAATAAAAATAATTTTTTAAAAAGTAATAATTAATTTTGTTTTAGATTTTATATCCATTAAAATAATTATTTTTAAAAAAATCAAAATTAAAAAAAATTAAATCTAGACTATCTAAATCAAATCTAGATGGTTCAGAGAACTCATCTTGGGTGGCCATCTTTTTTTATGAGCACCGTCATCGGATCCCCATCAATGTGATGACTGCATTTGAATGGGAAATAAGATGGATGGAGAGTGAGGAAATGGAAAAGGGTTAATATAATATTTCATCATTATAGTTTGTTCTTATTTTGGTTTTAGTTTTAGTTTTGGTCCATAAAATTTTAAATTATAGGTTTTAGTTCTTCAAGTTTTACTCCATTTATAACATTAGCTACTATAGTTTAATAAAGATATGGACGTGAAGTTAATGATGTTAAGTTTGCTGATGTGTCACTAATATCATTTATTCTACTGACATGGCATGCTGAGTTGGTAGGTTGACCGGACATGATTTCAATTAACAAAATCATCACCTTCTTCATGGAACCACAGTGCATTCTTACAACTGCTTCGTCAAAGTTTGAAGCTCACTCTTCCACGAGAAGAATGAGCAGAAGTTGACATCCTTCACAGATCACGTTCTTAGATCAAAGCTCCTCTGTTGGCTATTCTTGATTCTTGTATAGCTTTGAAAAACGCAGGCATGCTATTTTCTCCGATCCTAATGAATTCATCATCGAGAAAGGCATGAATTCCTTTTTGATGCATAGAATGGCAGAGATAGTTGGTGAAGCCTAAACAAATATCTTCACATGAAAACTAAGGAACACGTCACAAGTTTATTTGTAAATAACATTTCAGGCCTTATTATAAGTTACTCGTGAGGCCAAAGAAAAAAAAAAAACCATTTAAAGAGTAAACTGCAGCATTAAGCCAATGTGAAATGACTACTTTATTTTCTTGTCCCCATTAAAGTAGTAAAAGTAAGAAAAAGATATTCACCCAAAAAAAAAAAAGTAAGAAAAAGATTACCCTTCAACGCCGTCTGTGATAGATTGTGTATCATTGGTCAATGGTCAATATAAAATGGCCTTCATAACGCTGCAATATAATGTTTACTTCAACATCAACGATAATCTTATTAGGATAATTGAGTGATTCACGCTACCATACTTTTTAAGTAATTCCAAATTTATTTCTATGAAGTAGTTGTTCTTTAAAGTATGTCAACATTATCAAGTTTATTATATTTAATTGCTATATATCATAATTATTCTAAATGAGAAGGAAAAACGAGAGGTTACACTTTACGAAAAGTGCACAGTATTTGCCCAGGAGAAATTCATTAATGCAATGAAATGAAGTGATTTTAGTTTTAGATGCGCTAGACTGTCAAAATTAACACATTAGATTTACAAAACCCTAATAGTTTGCTCATTAACACACTTGGAATATGATTAAGAAATAACAAAAAGAAGCAAAGCATGTACAACACCAATGAATCTTGTTTTCTGGCTTCAACACACTGTAATAAATCCAACTAATATATCAATGAGTTTGGATCTAGCGGAAGAGGTTAGTTTCTCATAACGTGGTGAATCAATATTCGAATGATTGCTGAGAGAGGTGTTCACATTTAGTACCTGACAGTCCTTCGAATAGAAGTGTTTTCAATAGGAAGATACCTATCCTTTAGCAAGAAAAAAGAAAATCCAACTAATATGGGCTTGAACCTGAAAAAGATCATTATTAGGCCATTCACGTTGGGCTTGAAATGAATGGGTGCGGCATAATAAATTTTGTAATGTCTTCTCTTCCCCCTGTCGTCTTCTTTCGCTCTGAACTTTTTTCTTCCTTCTCCAGCGTATGACTGGACTTTGACTACAAATATAAAAATTATAAATAACACATGCTATAATTAAATAATTTTTTTAAATTAGTCAATTGGATAGTATGTATTCAGTAGGTTTTTCTAAAAAAAGAAAATGCAATGTGATCTTATAAAACCACGCTTCAACCAACGAAAGAATGGCCATCATGCGAAGTCCATCAAAACCATTCCCCAATCTAAGCCAACTCGTCCAACCAAATCAAGTTGAAGCATGTGGCAAAGTAAACTATTAGCAGGCAGTGAGAAACCTATGCCACGGCAACGGAAACCGATGTTAATATCTATTAATCTTGTTGACAGATTAAATATCTGTCATGCTAATATTATCATTTTTTCCCAAAAAAGACATTTGAATAAAAATATTTAAATTGATAATTCATTTCTAATATTTTTTTTTTGGCCATCAATTCATTTCTAATATTTATGTGACGTGAGAAAAACATTATTGAGAACATAAAATAACTTCTCCTAATATTTCCAAGCCATCAAGGAATCATGCATGGTAATAGAATTTTAAAAAACCATTAAGAGTTTTCTTTTTTCTTTTCTTTTTTTAAAAAAGGACGGCATCTCCAAATTTTATTGACGGCCCTCACATATGGCAGAGAAATAGAATGCATGGTTACATCAAATATTACTACAAACAAATGCAAATAATAGAAAAAAGACTTTCTAATACCTAAGGTCCTAATGCCAAGACATCAAAACCCAAGAAAAAATAGGATGACAGTAAAAGTCGTACAAATATAAAGAAAAATGGTGAAGACATTAAAATTTGAACAAAGGAAAAAGAAAAGAAAAGATAAGCATCCTATGAAAAATTTGATCATCTCTCCGACCTTGATGGTGATGGTGACTGCTGTACCTAAAGCAGAAAGGAACATTTTTAGCAAGGAATGTTTGTGAGTTGTGACCACCTCAATTCAATTTATACAGAGATATAAACACACACACTACTTCGTATCCTTAATATAAAAATTAGTTAACCAACACGAGTAAATTAAAACAGGTTGTTAAGTTAATTAATTATAATAAATAGGTATTATCTTTCCTAAAATACTAATCATGTGTCTTAGTTAAAACTACTATTTAATGGAACTATTAACATATGTAACTACTACAAAAAAATGGATGAATATGATAGATTGAGATATTATATTTAAGACCAAATTGAATGTTAAGTTAACTTTTATATTAACGATCGGAGGTAGTATATATTCATTTTGGAGAGGGTGAGATTGATAGATTTTCATTCCCAATTACCTGAATTGTTGCATCATTGTCTTGGAGGTCTTCAAAGATTGCTTGGTCTTCAAGGATTGTTGCATAATTCATGTCTTGGTCTTCAAGATATGCTCTAACAAGTCCCCGCGGAAAATGAGAAGGCATAAGTTTGAGAGTTGACAATTGCATTAATTCAATCATTAGAAATATAACCTCATGATAATTTGTGCCCTAACTTGGACAGAGAATTTTGAATGTTGCATCTGGGAATAATAAATGTACTCCTTTAATTTTTTTCAAAAAGTACTTGAAAAAAAATGTAGTGAGTGTATATACAAGAACTAATAAATGAAAGAATTCGAAGAAGTCATTGAAGAATTAAATAGCTAGAAAATTTCCACCAAAAGAGAGGCATGTTTCAAGAAGTTGAGAGTAAAGAAAAATATTAAAAATAAGAAAAAGAGTCTTAGAAGTAAATTTCACTCCAATGAATCAGTATACACATAAGAAGAGTAATAATATTGGCGGATTCAGCAAACCAGATAATTGAATACTGAGAAACAATTTATATGGAAACACTACCAGCTTCTCTGCTTGCATGTAATATGCTAAATATGATACTTATATGAAACTAGTACTTGGAATAAGGGATCAATGCACCTTAAACGTCTGCCATTTAAACTGATGTATGGAACGTGAGAGATTTTTGGCCAAATTTCCTCATCCTTGTCGAGGCATCGCTCTTCGAGAAGCGGGCAATCCCTAATGCGGAGCTTTAGTAGGGAAGGAGGCATCATTCCTCCTTCTATTTTCTCAAGCTTGTCAGAATACCGAAGCTCTAGTTGTTGAAGAGAAGTTAGGTGTTGAAGCCCTATGCAATGCAATGTGTCAGAATCAGTAGAGATGACAAGCTTAATGATAGTTGGAAGGTGATGCCATTTCGCATGACATGATAATAACTTGTCACACTCTCTTATCTTAAGTTGTTTTAAACTGGATGGTAACAACCCTCGTGAGAATGGCTCCATTTTTGGACATCCTTTTATTTTAAGCTTTTCTAAATTTGGAAGAAGACACTCCATGTTATCAAACAAGGACGTTAGAAACTTGCAATAGTAAAGGGAAATCTTTCGGACATGAACAAGAGGTGCCTTTGGAACCCGAAAAGCGTTGAGATTTTCACAGCCTCCTATAATTAGCTGTTTCACTGATGGGGGGATATGGATCAGTGGAGGTGGCACCGCATCAGAACAATCCCAGACAATTAAATCTTCAATATGCAACTCTACGGACAGAGACCCCAACCCGTGCCCACCTGAAATTGCCAGACGGCGTAGGGAAGGTGGTAATTCTTGCTCTTGCAACGCTACATTTGGACTTTTAATTATAGCAATCTTTTGAATGATTGGACACTTTGGGATAGAAGAAGCAAGCAGTGGACATCGTTGAATGCCCAGACGCTCTAAAGAAAGAAGTTTGGGGGGTAAATTTCCAATTAATTTGGGACAATTATAAAAGCTAAGAGTTTGGAGTTTAGGAAAAGCTTCCATATCAATGGAATGCCATTGTTCCCAGGAGATCATATGTTTAAAACTGAGAGTTTCAAGGGATGGAAATGGTATAAGTGAAGCCCAATCATCTGCCTTGGAAAACTCAGAACCCACAGCCACCAAACTTCGTAATGTTTCAATAGTTAAGGACCTAAGAGCAGGTAGTTGGCCAAGTGCAGGAATACTGCGACATCTGTTGCAATCTGTAAGGCGCAACTCTGTCAAGTTGTCGTAGGAATGACCTCTTGCATATGTTGTACCCTTATAACCGCCAGCTTCCAAAATTTCTAAATCCCCATAAGATTCAGACTCGTGCTTAATACATATCTCTGTCCATGAAAATAGAAATAAATATTGAGAAACACGGTTAAGAAATTAAAGAAAGAATAACATAAACATTTCTAAATTGTTAAAGATATAGAATAAAACATGAGTTGTGATTGATGGTCACATATGCGGCAACATTAAGGGTGTGTTTGGCTCAAAATAGGGGAGGGGAGAGGAGGGATTTCAATGGAGGGAAAGAGAAGAGAAAGGAGAAGAGGGATTTTAATATTATCTTGTTTGGATTGATGAGAAGAGGAGGGAGGGGAGGGATATGATTTAATAAGAATGTAACAATTACCATTCCTTACACACATGATGTAAGATTAGAAGGATAATATGGGGATATTAAAAACTAATTATAAGTATATTAGTCAAAATAAGCTAAAATATTCCACTATGTCCAAATCCCCCAATTTGGGAGGGGAGGGTTAGAGGGGAGAAGAAAGAAAATTCTCCTTCCCCTTCTAAAAATTTTGGCAATCCAAACAAGGGGAAGGAAGCAAAATATCCCTCCCACCACATCCTCTCCCTTCTTACCAAACAAATCCTAACAGTAATAATAAATAACAATAATTATAATTATAAACTACAAAATCGTAAAAGCTCTGCAATTATTACTTGAAGAGCATTTTAGTAATTTAAAATAAAAATAATTTCCAATTAATTCCTTGGTCATGCAGAGTAATTTCGGATTGTATTGGGATTGTTCTACAATTATTTCTCTTATGTGGGACTTTAGTACAATTCTTCCTAAATGAAATCAATTACTAATTTTTTTTCCGGCCAGACCATTACTAATTAAGTTCTTATTATATGAGATTTCTTACTATTTTTTCCTTATATTTAATATATATCCTCCAACAAACTTGGCTAACCGCCAGACCAAGGAAAAGGGTTTTTTTTTTTTTTTTTTGAGGGACGGGGGGAATATAAGGAGATTGAGAAGAAAAAAAATGGGAGAGAGGAAAACGCGACCGATAAGATAGAATAAAGAGAAACATATAAAAAGTAAATTCACTTTTTCCATTATTAAACATTCGTAGAACTTCCATTATGTTTTCCTATCTCTCTCTGTTATAGCATATTCTTTTAGTTCTTCCAAAAATCAAAATAAAATAAAAAATAAAAATAAATAAGTCGATGATGAATTGAAGTTGCAAGCGGTAGAAATAAAGAATACCAATGGTAAAATGAAAAGACCGGGGAAGGGTTAAATACCTCGTGTTGAGTAAGGCATGGGGTCCACGAATTGAATATTTTCTAAGTTGCCTTGTAGATCGTATGCATGAACTCCAAAATAAACTTCTTTTAGGATTTCTCTTTCCTGTGTTTTCCTCTGAATGCAAACCTTCACTTGATTCCACTTATTTGCAAGGGGGAGTTCAGTGTTGTAAACCATACTTTGTTAATCACATATATATATGTGATTAGTCTTTATTGGTGACAACGAACTCCACTTAGAAGAAATACCCAGCTTGGTTTCCTCATTGATGTGCACTGAGAATTCACAATTGTAGACATAATCCTGGACATCTTTGACAAGAATCCAAAGAAAAGTTGTTGGGAGCACGTCACGAACCCAAATTGACACAGAATTTCCCCAATCATACTTATGGAGCCCTTTTGGAAATTTTTCTCCAGGCAAAATAAAGTTTTTTTTCCCACATTGAAAGTTGATTGCCTGCAAATTGCATATTGCCGAAAAAGAAAAGTTGATCACCAACACATAAGCAATAATAAAAGAATATAATCATAGAGTGAGGGCGGACAGACATATACCTGCTCCAATACTTTGATTTTGGATAACTCAGTCAATGATGAGCAACATATGGCACTAAATTTTTCCAAGTTTGGTGGCATCCCCCCAATATGCTGAAGTTTGTTGCAATTATCCAACAAAAGATATTTCAAATTATGATATTCTTTTATGCATTCCGGAAGAATTGTGAAATCATTAAAACTCAGATCTAGATGTGTCATATTAATGAAGTGAGCAAGACTAAACGCAAGAGATTCATCTGATAACTTGCAATTTGAAAAAAAAAGGTGTTCCATTCTCAATGCCATTGCCGAGCAATCTAAGTTTGTTGCTTCATCTCCACCTTCACATTTCTTAAAATGACTCATTTGCTCACAAGAATTTGCTGTTAGTTTCCAAAGGTTTGGTAGCGTACAAATGCTAGCTGGTAGCTGCATAAGATTAGGACATTCCTCCATGCTTAAGACTCGAAGTCCAATAAGATTGCAGATTGAAGATGGCAATTCAATAATCGCTGTCTTGTCCAAATCAAGTGTCTGCATTTCTTCCATCAAGATAGATACTTCTGGAAATCTTTGAAGACTTGAACAACCGAAGAGGTTGAGATGTTCAAGAGATGTCAACCTTAGGCAAGATGGCAAAATCTTCAGGTTTTTGCATCGCATAGCACTCCATTCTCTCAATTTATTTAAACATCCAACTGAATCATGAATTTCAATCAAATTTGTGCAACCATCAAGACATAATTCTCTTATATTAGAAGCCCCAGATAAGTCTGGTATTTGTTGTAGAGATTTGCAATTTGTTAACTTCATACTACTTAAATTGCGAAATTTCTGCAAAACAAAATATCAATTTAATTACTTTGAGAATTCAGCATAGAAGCAAATTAAAAAGAAAAGAACAAGGGTATTTATGTACTCACCTTGTCAAATGGTTGGAGCAATTCACAAGAACTGAAGGACAAGTCAAGAGAGACAAGTTCAGTTGCACACAAAGATGGGAAAAATTTGAAAGAGTACCCTTTCCATTCCAACCACCTTAAACTCTTTGGCAGATATTTGGGACATTCAGAAAAGCATGCTTGTTTTATCACAAGCATTTTGAGACTTTTCATCTCCACAAATGCCTCCCCACTCCATTGTACTTCTATATTTTCAGGCAAGTCTAGAATTATGGCTTCAATTTTGTTTGTCCCCTTCCAAAATAAAAAGCACACGATAAATTTCAAAACATAGATATTATAAATCATTAGGAATTTTTCATAGAAATTGAAAAGTACATGTTGGTGATCTTACATTGTCTTGTTCTAAGACTTGAAGGATGTCCTGATAGGACCATAATCTGCTTTGTTTGCTAAGCTGATATGATGATTCTTGTCGAACAATCTCTTTACCGGCATCTTCTATCGAGTCATGCATTGTTACAAGATCTTGTTCAAGCTTTATAAGGGATTTATCAATCAGCACTTCAATAACATATTCTGGTTGTTGGATTCCCCGAACACAGTGCAAGATATGATTGACATATGCTAATTTCCCACCATTGAAAAAGCAAGCCAAGTCAAGGAAAACTTGTTTGTCTACTCGCTCTAAACTATCATAGCTTAATTTCAAGGCATCCAAAACTCTTTGATGTGGTGTGCTTTTTAATCTATCCAATGCAGAACTCCAGAGATCAACTCTTTTACCACACAATTTAGAAGCAATCAATTCTAAAACTAATGGAAAGCCACACGAATAACGGATTGCACGATTGCAAGCCTCCATGTTGTTGGAATCCACATTTGCTTTTTTAAATGCACACCAACTAAGCAACTTAAGAGATTCCTTATAATTTAATTCCTCGACTTCATAAATGCTTGTAACATCATGACATACAAGTAATTGCTTATCTCTGGTCGTGATGATGATTCTACTTCCACAACCAAACCAATTGCAACTTCCAGCAAGTGCTTCTAATTGGTTTAATTCGTCAACATCATCAAGAATCAAAAGAATCTTCTTCTGACCAAGCCTATGTTCTATTATTGGTATTCCCTCATGATAATCGTTCAATTTAAGATCTTTCTCCATGACTAATTCACGCAATAATGTCTCTTGAAGATGTGACAAACCATGTGGCATTTTGGAGTCCTTTCTTACACTAGGAGAAAAATACGAGCCTTCAAAATTATCAGCAATTGAATTATATACAGCCCTAGCAATAGTTGATTTACCTATTCCACCAGCTCCCCAAATTCCTATCATTTTAATTTCCTTTGTGGACCAAAGATGTAAACGAGAGATAACTCTCTTGGCTCGAGCCTCAAGTCCAACGGGATATTTTGCAACATATAAAGGCAACCGGTTAATCCTAGCAGCAACAACATTCGTGATCCTTGTAATAAACTCTTGTTCATTTGCAATCCTGAACAATTTGTAAGAAATTCACTTTTAGTTAAACTAAAACTTCAAGATATGTCAATTTTAGGTATAAAAACTCGGAGTTATGGTGTTGTGCGCCTTTTTAAGTGTTGGGTTAATGGTGTTCTAGCTAGTGAACAGAATTCTGGGAGGAACATCATATGGCATGCTTGATTACTGTTTATCTTTTTTTGTTTTTTGGAGAATGAAATTAAAAACATGTTTTCCGATGAGTTTTCAAAGAAATAATCAGCACATTTCACAAAACTATTGTTAGCACGAAATAATGGTACCAAACTTGGCAAGCGCTGCCCTTGTAGGGTATGTTTAGGTGCAAGTTGTTGTAAGATGGAAATTGAAAGTAACTATACTTAAAATACTAGCAAAAAGAGTGAGGAGATGTACATACTTGGGTTTGAGATGACAGCCTCTGAGGTCAGCAGCTTGAGACAGAGCCAGCCTCCACTTTTCCACCTTGTGCGGATTGTCCTTGAATCTTTCCTCCAGTCGAGCCAATGCTGCTGCATAGCTTCCTCTGGGACGTCGTAGTTCTGATGGATCCACATAACAAAATACTGGATATATCAACCGATTCTGTTCCTTGAAGCACTCTAGAATCTTTTCAAGTTCTTGCAAACAAAACGTTGAGTTTGCATAGTTTTCTGAGAAAACTATGATGGCTATTCTTGATTTTTGTATAGCTTCAAAAAGCGCGGGTGTGATATTTTCTCCAATCCTAATGAATTCATCATCGAGAAAGGCATGAATTCCACTTTGACGTAGAGAACGATAGAGATGGCTGGTGAAACCTAAGCGAGTATCTTCACCGTGAAAACTAAGAAACACATCAAAAGTCCATTTGTAAGTGATAGAAGAGGATAGTGCTAGATGTGCCATGAGCTAATCTTAAGCGACGAGTAAAGAAAGAAGAGAGATATCTCCAGCACCGGAAAGAATGAAGGGTTGAGGTTCTGGTGACTATGAAATAGAGTCTGTGTTGACTTTAAAACAGGCTTGACTCTCAACTTAGAAGACTATTAGGTGGGGATACTTTTTATAAGGTACAAACTTTAAGATTGGAAAAGATATAAGAATGTGACAAGAAACGATCATCATTACTGTGGCTTCATGTAAAATTAAATAAAGATATTATTGAAGAGGAATAATCAATATGCAAGTAATAATGTTTTGTGCATTAATTTTTACGACAAAAAGGTATGGAAACATAAAATATGATGAATATGAGATGCATAGTGATATATAGGTATATAGATTAAACGTATATATCTTGCCCAATCATCGTAGAAATTTTCAAAAAAAAGTACAATTTTTAAATTTAAAACATCTTAAATGAGGCTAGCAATTGTATCTAAATTTCTTAATGCGCGTGAAAGAGTCAAGGACTCAAGGAGGCAAATAAATGAAAGGGAAAGTGAGGAGATATTATGAGAGAAATTTCCACGAACGATCGAATAGAAAAAATGACGAAAGACGACAGTGGAAAGGAAAAAAAAAAGTATGGAGACAGAAATTCAATAGACGCCTATCTACCAAATGTACAATGGTGGGGTCTAACTCAGTAGTACTTGGAAGAGGGCTCATCATTGTACTCCCACGCGCATCTTGACACCAAAAAAAAAAAACCCGCTCATCTTGACTTGGTTCACCGCACAAGTATTTATTAGCACGTTTAATTTTTAATATAAAAAATAGATAATTAATTTGTAAATATTAAAAAAAAGTAATTAATTTAATTATTGTAAACAAAAACAAATCTGTTGGTTTTTCTAAAATAAAATTTCTAATCATATCCATCTTAACTACAACTACTCCTTATACCATGTGCAATCAGTAAGGGTAAAAATTTATAATTTTAAGAAACAAAATGAATTTTAACATTATATTTAGAACTAATATAAATATATTATCTACAGGATGTTGTAATTTCGGAGAACACCGACTTTTGTTGGCTCTTTCTTTCATAGTAACCCTTACCCCCCATTTCTTCATTTCATATTAACATCTTCAGCTCATGTTAATTCCTTCACTAACCTCGTCCCCACTGTCACAATATTTTATATTTTCGCTAAATTTTATGATTATTCATGATAATAATTAAATATACTGTAGTGCATCCTACTTTTTTTAAGATTTTAAAAACGTAATTATAGAAAAACTGTCATCTCATATATATTTAGAATGCACTTTCTTTTAATAACGGCTTTTTGTCAGGAAAAATTATTACACTAGAAATTTAAAAGAGGTCTTGTAAAAGCAGTAATTAAAAGATTCCTACCGTACTTTTCAAGTAATTAGAACTATGGAGACTGAAATTCAAAAACGTACATCCGTCAATGTTGGTGGGTTCTAGTTCTATTGCCTGGATGGAAGAGGACTCATCATTCGCCCCAACTTTTCCATATATAAATTAATTAACCGCTTAATCGGTTTTTTTTAAAATTATTCTCAGATTTTACGTGCATATTTATGCAAATTATACTATAAGTAAAGCCATTAGTTGACGTAATATGCAAATTATTCTCAGATTTTTCTCTTAATTAGAGGTAGAGCTAAATTTAAGGATGATGAGATTAAAAGTAAAAGAGACACAAAATAAAAAGTTTACATACCAACAAGCTATTGATTAAGTGTGTATTTGGATTGATGTTAGACAAAACTAACTTCTAGTCTAACTAACTTTTATAACTGAAATTAGAATAAAAATCAGTTAGTGCAATGCGATTTATGTTTGTATAAGTACTTATAAAAAGTCAAAGTTAAAAGTTGTTTAAATGATTAAAACCTCATTTGAATTGTCATTGGAAAAGGTAAAAACACATGGGAAAGTGTGAAACTGAGGTTTGTGACTTATTTGGGTAAAATTAATTGGTTGGATGGGTTTCTTTGTAACTTTTCTAACTGACCTATAGGAAAATTGTGTAAAGTTACAATCAAATTAGTTATGTAATTTCATTTATTTTAATTAGAGACCAAATGAATTTTAATTTATATTTATGTTTATCCATTATGTATATCTAATTAATTATCTACAATGTGTTTTCAAATTTTTCTTTGTAATAAATATTTTTATTTTATAATTTCACAAATAAACTATTTATATTTTATCATAATAATTTTATGTATTTTTTTAAATTATTATCACGTTAAAAACATAAAATTTCAAACACCACTATTCAATAAAGTCTATGCCCTTTTTAGTCATTTTACAATTAAACTAACTTTTTATTAATCATCCAAACAATTTTAAACTATTTCAACTGATTTTGTATAAGCACCTATCCAAACATAAATCGCATTACACTAACTGATTTTTACTCTAGCTTCAGTTACAAAAGTCAATTGGGCTAGAAGTCAATTTTACCCAACGTTAATCCAAACACATCCTAAATAGAAAAATGAATTCAGTTATAAAAATTTATAGAAAAACATGAAACTGCAGTTTGAAATGGAAAAATCATATTTTTTTCTGTTGAGTCCAACTAAGGTTGAAAACTAGAAGTTGGTTAGAACTTGTTGAGCTTTTAGTTCCATCCAAACTGCAGTTTAAATGATTAAAACCTCGTTTGAATAAATAAAAATATAAGGCCATGGCCTCCGAATATTGCCCTGCGTAGGCTATTCCAATTACAACCATTTTCATGTTTTCACATTTAGAGACAGTAAAGACAGTAAACCCAAGGTTTGAAACATCTGATACTGAATTTCTATATATAAATTATAGACCACCGATATAAAGGGCATCAAGATTATAAGGGCAACCAAAATGTTAGAGCTTTTTAACCGATTCATTTCTACAACAAATATGAAGGGCATCAGTACCAACAAACGTAAGACTCTCGGCGTAAGTATAACGACAAATCACATCCGTATAAACAAGTTGCAATACTAAGATTTAATAAATATGGGAAGGCCTTCACGTGACACAGCAATCCGATGGTGATGTGATCACCAGTTTAGGTAGGAGTTAGGCACAAAACAAGAAGTCAGAGATTTGGTTGGCCTAAATAATCACGGGGTGATAGGTGGTGGGATCAAATCCCATTCTTACCACTTTTCTTTTCTACAACCAAAAAATATTACTGTCAGGAAAAAAAAAAAAACTGTTGGCACCAACCACGTTGGTAGCCACCATGGTGGCGGCAGCCTGTTGCCGGCCATGGTCTTAGGCGAAGGATTGAATTTTTTTTTCAAAAAACAAAAAAGATATTTTTATCATTTTCTTTAAATTTTAAAATTTTAATTTGAGTTTACTTTTCTTCTTATTATTTTTAACTCTTAGCTTCTTGAATTGGGAATTTACAATTTCAGTCTTCTTTCTTTTTGTTGCTGTCATTTCTCATAAATCAAAGGAGAACAGCGCGCCAATATAACTGAAATAAAAAAATAGAACAAACCAACAACACAAACAACCCCCAAAAAAAATTAACAATAAGAGAACATGCAACATTACGACAACTAAATTAAACTTGGTTGTGATTGTAGACCCCAATTGTTGCCGGCAGATCGGAGACAATTCAAAGCTTGAATCTCTTGCTACATCAACCATTTTTTTCCACGCATAGATACTCAGTAGTAAGCACCTGTTTTCTTGAAGCTGCATCACATTTTTCAAGAGAGAACGCCATTGTGAGTCATTGATGCAACCCAATGTCTCATGATATCTGCACCCTTTGGGTGTTGAAAGAAGCTCCAGTACAAAGCCCCTGGGCTATACAGCAGAGACAAAAATAAACATGAAACCTTAATAGAGTTGCTGTCTGAAAGCAAAAAAAGAGCACAACATCACAAGTGAACGCTCATCCAAAAACATCCAAAGAGAACACCTATAGTAAACCACCAAAATGAAAGCGAGCAGAAGACAAACAAAAGTATGTTCTGAGCAGTCTAAAGTGAACTAATAGTAGGCATGACACTGTCCATTTTGGGCCTGCAAGTAACCCAGATAGTCATGTGTTGATTACGTGAATCTTTTCGGCTGAAGATTTGCGAAAACCCACAGACTGTAGATCTTGACCGACGTAGCCATTGTTCCTGCTATACAAGAATTTGCTCGACGACACTGAAATCCCCTGCCTAGACACTTAAAACCGAGATGTAATGCCTTGGATAACAATAGTAATGCCCTTCTCTTCTTGTGTAAAGCTGAAACTGTTTGATAGAAAGATGAAAAATTATCAAGACAAATAGGTCGAACACTGATCTGATCTTCGTGGCAGTTTAAAACTAGAGGAAACTCAAAATTTGGACTTAAGGATCACTTCCGGATACAAGTTAGCAGCACCTGAAAACGCATCATTACAGCTAGTCTAAGGGAACTTGGCTATAGCTCCTCCCTCAGCTTCCAATCGTTTTCGTTTACACGTGTAGAGATCTGACGACCTGACTGGCGAATGACAACTAAAGCCATCAGAGCCATCCAAATCAACATCATCAACGTTCAATTTAAAAGAAGACAAGGGGCCTGAAGTGCTATTGGGCCTGTAAAGAAGGAAACCAATTCCATTTTAAAAACTATCTGGGCCAAGATGATTTATGTGTGAAGATTTAGGCCCATTAAAAGAGCCTTCGTAATTTCCTTGAAAGCCCACTGCCTTAGAGCATTTCGTTGGAGCCATGACCCACTTTGGGACAATTAATGCACACTTCATTAATATTTTCCCGTAGCATTAATGGCTCGAACGCTGGGGAAAACCCGTGTGACAGCCACATGGGATAAGTGCAGAAAGTTTTTAAAAAATTAATAGCACTTTATGCGCCAATTTATTTGTGAAAAATATCCCCACGTACGGTATTTTTTCTGAACTACATGCCCAGATAATCCATTCATCCCTTCTGATCAGTTAATTATATACTGGTATCTCTTTTGTTCATTTTTT